CACTGTTGTTTGGCAGGCCTGGGCTGGATTCGAACCCGCCAGCTCAGGTGTACGTGGCTGGCGCCTTAGCAGCTTGAGCCACAGGCAACAAGCCCCTAGATCAAGGTTCTTAAAAAAGGATTGTAGAGGAAATATTTCCTGTAAATTATTCTTTTGATAATTTCTGGAAAAACACAACTCATTTATAATAGCATTCATATTATTAATATACCAAACACATTCTCCTACCTGAAGAGTTTCTACTTCTAGATTCATGGCCCTGAGGATGTCCACAACAGCACTGACTAAGCTGCTCAGGAATGGTACCAACTATGAAGAGAGAAGAGAGCAAAAGAGGAAATGATTCAAAACCAGTGAAGGGCAGAAACAGTATTTGCTGCACAAATTGCATAGTATACTATAGCTACAAAGTTTTATGACCAAAGTTCAACAAACACTTATTGAATTACAAAGTTTCATTAGCGAAGTTCAATACACACTTATTGAAAGACCAATGTGCTGGGCAATGGGCACACTGAGATAAAAAGTGCCATACAACCTGCCCTGAAGTAAGAACATCAGGGAAGAAAGCCAGGTAAACAGGGCAGGTGTGGTCATCCCAGCACTCTGGGAGGGAGGACTGCTTGAGCTCAGGAGTTTGAGACCAGCCTGAGTAAGAGTGAGACCCCCGTCTCTACTGAAAATAGAAAAACTAGCCAGGCATTGTGGCAGATGCCTGTAGTCCCCGCTACTTAGGAGGCTGAGGCAGGAGGGCTGTGTGAGCCTAGGAGTTTTAGGTTGCTATGAATTAGGCTGAGGCCATGGCACTCTAGCCTGGGCAAGAGAATGAGACTCTGTCTCAAAAAACACCAAAAAATAAAAATAAAAAGATAACCATGTAAACAAATAAATGCCTCTAACAAGTATGAGACAGAGAAGTACAAAGTGTGGGGGGCTCCTGGCACTGCAGAGCACAGCTCAGTGACAGCCCCAGCTGCCATCCCTCTGATCTGCCGCATGGGTACAGAGGCCAGGCTTCTCCAGGGCTGCTCTCAGCCAGAGACTGCAGGTGGCAGAGCATGAATTCAAGCCTGCTTGGGCGGTGCCTGTGGCTCAGTGGGTAGGGCGCTGGCCCAACATACCGAGGGTAGCAGGTTCAAACCCAGCCCTGGCCAAACTGCAACCAAAAAATAGCGGGGCATTGTGGCAGGCACTTATAGTACCAGCTACTTGGGAGGCTGAGGCAAGAGAATGGCCTGAGCCCAGGAGTTGGAGGTTGTTGTGAGCTATGTGATGCCACAGCACTCTACCAAGGGTGATAAAGTGAGACTCTGTCTCTACGAAAAAAAAAAAAAAAGAATTCAGGCCTGCTGAAGTGGGTCAGGGAAATCTCCAAACAGGTAACTGAGTGCTTGCAGACACTCCTTCAGACTGGCTAAAAACTCCTTAGGACTGCACTATAGTCTGAGATGCCTAGGGCCCAGATCTTCCTCCCTTTCAGATGTGACACCTGCATCTTGGTCTGAGGGTCCTCCCTGCCTCCTCTTACCCCTAACCTGTATCCTTCAGAGGTGTTTCCCCTAATCAATCTCACGTATCTAATTCCCCCTTTGAGAACCAAACTCACACAGAGGGAGAGTGTGGGAAGGCTTCAGGGGGGTTAGTCAGACAAGAGATGTGTCTATGACAAGTAAGGGCACTGTGCAGGGGACCAGGCGTGGGCAGAGAGAGGATCCCTAGGAAAGTGCTTGCCCTGAGTAAGGGTGAGGCCTGGATCTCATCTCTGGATACCTTGGAGTCCCTCAGGAGCTGCTTCCAGGGTGGTGGGAAGGCTAAGATTTTTCAGCTAAAAACAGCTTTGAAACCATTGCAATAGGTGATGTGGCAATTTACACCTTTTAAAAAAAACACTATCAACTTGGCATCTGTAGCTCAAGCGGCTAAGGCGCCAGCCACATACACCTGTGCTGGTGATTCGAATCTAGCCCGGGCCTGCCCAACAATGACAACTGCAACAAAAAAAATAGCCAGGTGTGGTGGGCGCCTGTAGTCCCAGCTGCTTGGGAGGCTGAGGCAGGAGAATGGCTTAAGCCTAGGAGTTGGGAGGTTGCTGTGAGCTGTGATGCCACAGCATTCTACCCAGGGCAACAGCTTGAGGCTCTGTCTCAAAAAATAAAATAAAATAAAATAAAAATAAATAAAAAGACACTATCACTGTGAGTTTTGTTTGATTTTAAACAGAATTCCTGCAGACTACTTGCAACTCTCTTCTCTCTGGTCTCTTTCTGAGCCTCTTCCTGTTGTATCTCAGCCTCACTCCAGCAGTTCTGATGGAGGGGCAGGGGCCTCTTCTTTTGGAAATTTTTGTTTGTTTTCTTGCAGTTTTGGGCTCGGCCACCCCCAGGTTCTCTCTGCACCACCTTTCTTCCCCCCCTCTGGATACGGCCTCAGATGCCGCAGTCTCAGTGGCACTGCTCTCTTAGACACTCTGCCTGAA